TGCCAGAAAACCAGCCTTTGAAACTTGACAATGCATACTTCGGTTCTACTCAACATACTAGTAAAATTCTAATTGTTGATCCGAGAGTAACATACTGCACTGGTATTGCGCGTTTTGATTATATCGATTTGACAAAATGGAAGCTTTAAATATGCAACTTAGATAAACTGCAAAATGTATTTGGAAATGTATAACTTCAAATTTGCGATATGTAGAAATGTAAACGATAGAACGTAAAGGACACATTAATGCTGTGCATCATGACTTTAAGAATGTAACTGCATCTGTTGACACTCTCAGGTTGACAGCATCACACTTTCCCTTTACATTCTAACGCGATTAACATTTGTAAACGATTATACAACTTCCAAATATGGAATTATCTCTATTTTAAAATTAATACGCGGAGCAAATTTGCACTAAAGCAGAATATAAAGAGAGGTAACTATTGCTGGTAAAAAAATGTTTCAAATTATATAAACTTTTATAAATTTTCTCATACATCATCTGTATTACAGTTTACTTTGAATATCCTCTGAATTTGTTAAAAAGTATTCTAGTATCGGATATTCAAGTAAGGCAAGATTGGTTAAGATATAATGTAACAATGTAACAACGTTTATACTGATAATGAGCATAATAATATGCAAAAACCTTAAGTCGGTGAGTTAATATAAGAAAACGTTTCCCATATATAAACGACACAAATCAGTTTTACAGATAGGTTATTTGTGTCTTCAAACGTTACAACAGTAGTACACATACATATGTCTTTTACATTTAGCAAACAATACTAGAATGCGATACATGGAAGTAACACGAATTAAGAGAACTGTAAGCCAATGCATTCTTTCTTTAAAGGACTATATTTGCTTGAAGCAGAACAAATTTTTTGACAAAGTGTATAACTACGGAACTATTTAAAGTTAACTGTCGTTATTCCGTAGTTTAACCAAAATTCTTGTGAATTTGTCCAGTTTTAATGTTGAAATAAAATTTTGAAATAAATATTCAGTGTTTTGTTATATTTATGTAAGCTGGCGTAAGTTAAAGTCTTATTTTATGCATTGTACTGAAAAAATAAACAGCTTTAAATCTGTGTATACATGCTGTCACGGTGTGATGGTTTCACGCATCATTTTCCGCGTACCTTCGAAAATTTATCATCTTGCGCGCAGATCTGAAAAGTGCAAGAGGTAAATTCCGAAATGCGAAATTTTCTTACTAAAACTGATTTATTTTTAGAGATTGCATACATCACGGAAGTTTTGAATGTTTCATCTATGCGTGCAAAACATTTTGCAACAATATTTGTATTATATAACCTGAAACTAATGAAAATACTTTTATACATGTGAAACATTTGTGTTCTTGATGCGAACATTTTTCATCCTTTTCAGACAGTAAAGTTGTCGGGAAAAGTATTATATGTCAAAAGATCACATAAAGCATTGACACGAGCTGATCACATTCCAATTTTATATAATTAATGCAAAATAATGTTGTAAAATCAAGAAAACTTTGAGAAACGTTGCACCGCATCATGCAGAACCCTGGCACCGCTGCTTTTTGTGCAGTAATACTGTATACTTTTAATGTGTTTAACCGTTTTTTGTTTGGTTGTTTTTTTTGTTATTTCTATGGTAGGATGGACTAGAAGATGTAAATTTTTGTTTACCGGTTAGGGTAAGCGGTACAGTGGATTTCCTGCACCTGGATGCAATGTGCACCTCTATATTTTTTAAAAATAATTTCCTGTTAAAATTCCAGGCTGTCCTAGCAGTTGTATTTTATGTCTGTTGTTTTAAAGTTAAACTTTTCTTTGGACACTGGAATTACATATTATTTGCTGAAATTAGTAATTGAACTTTTACTCTCACATTGGCTAATACAACGCACAAGCAAGCCAAAGCTCATAATTCTAAATTCTTTTTTTTGTATTGAAGTTTAGTTACTAAACTTATTGACAGGGCACGTTACTAACGCATGTTACTGAATTTAAGATAGGCGGCAACGGTGTGCTTGTGTTATCCTCCCTGTATTAATATCTGTGTCGGCAAGCTCGTATTTTTCACACTTTCTTAATACTTGTGGTTTTGTTATTGCTAGACTATTATAAAACGTATAGATAACTTTAACCAAACAATGTAAGTTTCTTGCTGAAGAAAACATGGGATGGCCGCTGGCGACGTTCGAGCTTACGCCTTGACAAGCGATGCCAGCATTGTAATTCCGACGTTTCAGTCTAGAAGTCACGGGTTCGATTCTTAATTCGTCCAATGTATTGACTCAAATTCTTTAGTTCAAGCTATTTTATTTTCATTTACATGATAATTGACAAATAATAAACGATTCATATTGAGTAGGAGTTTTTGGATTGAGTAGGAATCTTGAAAAAAACTTTTTTAGAAACTCTCTCCGTAAGCAGTATCTCAAAGAGTATGTATAAAATGAGAACAATTATACATGAATATTTGTGTTACATTTATTCAAAACGATTTCAATATAGATTTGCTTCTTTACATGTACAAGAAAGTATGCAAATTTGCATTCTATTTGTCCTTATCGAACCGATTCTTCCCAATATGACCATGGTCCCATGTTTTACGCCGGACACACAAAACAATCAAGTTTGCTTCAAGACCTGAAATGTCTTTATTATCTATGCATTTTCCTTCGGTTTGTAAATAATTGATATACAACTTCGCCCAGGTGGGCAACAATAAATAAATACAAATAAGATTATTCAACATAAGGTTAATCATCATGATGCGGTGCAATTCTAGCGCTAATGTATACGGTGCCACATTTATTGGTGCGGACCCATGATACGATACGAAGAACTCGGTCAATTGTTATGCTTTTATGATTTTTAAGGACTTAAACAGCATTAATTTGTTTGCAACATTCTATGTATACATTTCTTTGATGCTTGCAGTTATATTTAATGTAACAACGTTGGTAGAACGTTATGTAATGAGCATGATAATATGCAAATACTAAAGTTGTTGAATTAACATAAGGGAATGTATCATACAAACCACTTTCGGTGGTGAGCTAGCTTTACACCGACAGGATTTGTGTGCCTTGAAACGTTACGTTAATAATTATTTTGATTGACAACAGAATTTTCTAATCTAAAAGGTATTCCAAGTGATGGTTTTCCCTAAGCAAGCTCTAGCTGTTTTTTTATTAAAACAAAGAAAACGTACAAGTCTTTGGTAAAAACTAGGTAAAAACAAAAACCTTCAATGATCATAATATTCCGTAGAAACACTTTTTTTAATACACTTAGTTCAAAAGTGTGACTTTAGGTCGTTTCCATCATGCATGTTGTGTTTATGTGTTTGTTTTGTCTAAAATGATAAGATGCTGCATGCAGGATGATAAATTATCGACGGTACGCGGGAAAATGATGCGTATACTATTGATAGCTGTTGTCTATCTGATCAAAATCAGAGAACTATTTTATGTACATGAAATACTACACGGAATATTTATTTAGTTTTGTAAATGGCTTTCTTAGAGATAAAATAAACAAGGTATACTATACTTCAATTGATAATCAACATATATTACATACATTTGGACTCATTTAAATATTATCATTGAAACAAATGTTAAAAATTGGAAACTATATCTATACAGTATGGTAAAAAATAAAACATTATGTTCAAAAGGGTACATACAACTCTGGTTTTTATTTTACACAAAAAGGTGTGCTAAACGGATTTATTTTTCTGTTTTCTTTTGTCGTTGGCGGTAAATACTGAAAATGAGCGGAAAAATACGATGCTTATTTACGATGATGTAGTTGGCGGGAAAATGGGCGGGGCTTATTTTATCCCTATTGAAAATCGTGTAAAGCTGGATTATGCTGATCTGAATCATGATGGTTTGACAATGTAAAGCAAAGAAAGTATCTTATGTTTTGTCGGCGTATACACGAACAATGACAAAATTACTTGTTGACATTTTAGTAAATATTGCCAATTTATAATGTTGCAGTGCTTTGATTTAAAATATCAGCGGTTGTAAAAGGTATAATTTTGTATTGTGTATCGAAATTGCTTAACTAGTTTGTTGATATTGATTTTCCACGCGTGTAATTAGATACAATGTGTAACGAGTGTGCAAAAGGCGTTGCATTCCTTGTTAATTAATAGTAAAGAGGGATACATATTTGCTGATATTTTTTGTTCAACTATTGATAGAATGTCAATCTACTGTGCTTCAAGTAATTAACCATACGTCGAAAGGAAACGTTTTTATTTATATTATAGGATGGTGTTTGATAATAAACAACATGACCTATAACAATCCTTGTCACAACAGAAAAGGATCTAATCAAGATAAAGGTTTATCACGAATTTATTATTTTCAAATATTGCTTGGACATTAATTAAGGTTATGACTTCTTTCCTATCATTTTCCACACTACACCCTTTACGTTTATGTTTACTATACATTTAACCAGTTTAATTTTTTAAAATTGTCCCTATTTTAAGATATAACTTATAATTAATTAAAATGAAAAGAACTAATGTTACAAGTATTTAATACATATGTACGCGCAAATTGTTTTAGACGCGTACACAGCTGTCTATCCTATTTTGGCCTGCAGCTGTGTACACTAAAATATATATTTTTATCTCCCTTTTTATTTCACACTACCGCTATTTGACACAGCGTATTATTATTTCGAGTACAAGTAGGATTAAATATAAATATTTTGTTATTGGATCCTCTATTTCATTATATATTTTGATATTACATCTTGCAAAAACTTTCGGTTTATTGGTTACATTTGAAAGTGAATTTTTCCATACACTATGAGTTACTTTTACAAATTTTTGTAGTAAAAATTAAATATGTATATTTCAGTTAGATATAAAACGAATAGACGATCTGCTTGTTTTACTATTTTAGACCGTCTGAAAGAAGTATTTGATCGACTTAAATTCAAAACAGATCCGAGAGACGATATGCATGGCGAAAACATGGATACAATTTTGAAGGAATATGCTAATAAGGATCACACTGACATGGATTGTTTTGTCTGCTGTATCTTATCGCATGGAAATAAAGATGGAGTGGTTTGTTGCGATAAAAACTGTGTTAGTATTGAAACAATAACTGGTTATTTTCGAGCGTCATGTTGCCCAAGTCTCGCAGGAAAACCAAAACTCTTTTTTTTTCAAGCATGTCGAGGGATTGATCATATGGGCGGTGAGTTTTTAAAGCATCGAAATATTACACATATAAGCTATGACAGATTTAAATTAATGGCAGCTTATTTTAGTAGATTTAGATACATAAATTTAACATTTACAATTTTAGGAAAAGAAAATAGATTTAGAAAGTAATTTACAGGGTTTGAAATATATATATATATATATATATATATATATATATATATATATATATATATATATATATATATATATATATATATATATATATATATAATGTTTATAGTTTAAACAATATTTTATTTATAAGTATTACATTTACATGATAATTGACAAATAATAAATAGTACGGATTGAGTAGTAAGCTTAAAAGCTTTTTAAGAAACTCTTTCCGTCATCACTATCTCAAACAGTATGTAAAATGGTAACAATTATATGCATTTTTGAGTTAAATATACATAGCATTTTCGCTATAAACTTGCTTCTTTACATGTACAGGAAAGTTAGCAATTTACAATCTGGTTTTTCCTAATCGAAACGACCTTTATAATAAAATATTGACATAAAAATGTGAAAGAAAACCCTATAGCTCTATAGCATAAATACACGTAAGTGATAAATGCACAAATAAGCACGTTTAAACTTATCAAGAAAAATAATATAACTTTTAAACATGATGTTATAATGTTTGTTTGCTATTTGTTTATTTTGGGTGAGATGCTGGACACCCGTATGCAGACGTACAAGTTGTTGTGATACAATGATATAATTAAAGCGTGAATGGGTACATATGTACTTAGCTTCAATAGTTTGAAAATTTCAGATTAGATTAAAAGAGCTCTTGTTTGATTACCAACTGGTATACAAACTGTCTTATTTTGTATAAGATTTAATATTTAATGGTTGGTGCAGTCTGGGTCTTAGTTCAACACGACTATATTGTTGTAGTATTTATAGTTCCAGTAATTTGATGGATGTTTTAAGTATTGCTGCTTGAAAACTGTATGATAACCATGTAGATAAGTTGCCGGCATTTCCGGTCCGTTTTTTGGAAAAGAAAAAAAAGAGTAATATTTATGACTGTGTCGTCGGTGTTAGCGCCGGCGGCGTCTGCGTTGGTAATCCTTTCCGTTAATGTCCATTTCCCACAAACTATATCAGCTATACACTTCAAACTTCATACACATTATAATTGGCATAAAGGACGCCAAAAACAACAGATTTTTTTGCAAAAGTTTTGCCTCTATTTATAAGCGCTTTTATGCATCTAGTCGTCCGTCTGTCAATCCATTTAACGATAATGGCACTGCCCCAGCGGTCACTTAGTCAGGAAAACATATTTACATGTATGCATTATTGTGCAAAGTATAATATAAAGATCTTAGTAATTTGGCATGCGTCATGTATACATAGAAGATCCTTTGAATAGTTACAAAATCACTGATACTAAGGAAAAAGGTATGCCCAGGAGCAGGAATGGAAGGGGTGTAAGTCTCACGCAATATGTATGCAATATGTACACAGATTTATAATGTTATGCATGTCCATGTCTTAAAAGTCTTTATTTCCTATCTGCAACGTGCAAAGCCTAAATATTTATAATGTAACATCACTTGTTTTTGCTTTATAAGAGTAGAATTATTATTTTTGTACTAGTCATAAACTTACTTTGAATGTCTGCGTGGGTATTGATGTTATTAATGTAAAGGAATTTAATGAAAAATAAAATAGCATTTTGACATTTGATAACTATTAGACATGTTATTTTGAATTTTTATCATTTGAAAAACCAACACTATTCTTGTTTATACTCCGTGAAAATTGCATGGAGATAAATGAGCCGTCCAGTTAGCTCAATAGATAGAGCGTTGGACTGTGAATCGAGCGATTCGGGTTCGATTACCGGACGGTGTAGGCCTCTTTCGTTGTGATTCATCACGAAATCCTTTCTACAGTCATAACGTTACCTTAGTGCAATGACTGAATAACTGTTATTGAATTTAGAAGCACTTATTACTTTATTGTCCTAATGTGACAATTAGCTCTGTTTCTCTGCTCTGGTATATACAACAGCAAAAGTGAAGGAAAACTATTACTAGTTAACTGATCGGCAACCAGCCCAGAAACAATGCGAAGGCTACACTGTGCTCTGGTAAATTCATTGTGGCTTACTGTCGTGAATGCAATTAATATGGATGCAAATTATCCCCACTTTGTACCTCAAAATTAAAACTATAAGGGCACAACATAAAACATGTTCCAGACAAGTGAAATAAATGGGTCACCTCTCTTATTTAAAATAATTTGTGATAACCTTTTATTACTTAAAACAAATTTGCATTCGGGCGTGTATGGCCAAGCCTTTGCAGTACTATTGTTCATCTTGGATTTTGCCCTGGTTAACATTTTTGTTTGCGTCCATTATTCAGATACTTTCAAAGTACTTCGCTTCGGACTTAGAATGCATTATAACTTTCTAAGTATAACAGCATTACATTCCGGAACGTTTTGCCCTTCTGTCAATTTATATCAATTTCTAAAAGACAACAATAGCTTTTTTACTTGCAACTTGAAATAATTTTTGTTCTCCCAATGGCAAAATCTAGATATATTTCTATAGGACAGCTAATCTTCTGATTTATATTTGCTCAGTCATTTCCCTTTTTGACTTTGTGGACAGCCTTGTTATGGTGCATTTCTAAAAGATATCAAAGACATACACTTTAAACGTGAAAGGCATTTTTTGCGCAATAATCTCAATAATTATTTAGGATATTTGCAAAGTTTTCAAAAACTATTATATATATTTAGAACAACTAAGGGTATGCAAGACTGCTAAACACATTTGTAGTTTATAACCCCTTTTCTATTTTATTTTTATTTATCTATTCAGCACTGACAAAAATGGAGCGCACTATCCACGGATTGGTCTTCTTATATTTTATTTTTTAATTGGCGTATTGTCTGTGATATGCAGGCTTTATATCTTTTCACATTTCATCATTTATATGCCGTTGCCCTTTTTCTAGTGAAGTAAACTTTTGCACATTAACCATTTTTTCTGACTAAGTATATTATTTTCTAAGGGTGGCAAACAGATGGTCCCATTGCTTTGGACGGTGAAAAGAATCTTAAAGTTGGATCACTTCCAGATGAAGCTGACTTTCTACTTGGTTTTGCTACAACATCTGGATATGTGGCTTTCAGACATAACATAAATGGATCAATATATATTCAAACGCTGTGCACACTATTGGAAAAATATGCATCAGAGTAAGCACTAACGTTTTATAAATATTAATATACATGTAGTATTTTATCATAATTATTCCTCGTTCATATCTAACGGAAAAAATTAGTGTTGCTATTTGTTTTACTTTTATACAATGTTTGTTTCTCTGTTTTGTTTTTTCTCTCCTTCCTTCCATCAATCCCTCCTTTTTACAAATTTGTCTCAACTGGCGCACTGATATAGATAACATGTTTATAACGTCTATTAGAATACAATTATACTTTCAAAAAAACAAAACATAAATGGTTTAACAAACAAATATGTTATTAAGTTTACTATGTTCATCAATACCAGTTGTATCAACTTATTGCATTTAAAGTAATCATCTTTCGCAATGAATTGACAAAATTGATAGAATAAAACAACATAATTTTTTAACTTGGCCTATAAATCAGGTTTGTCGACAACTAACGCATCTTGGTCTCTTGAGAAAAAATTAAGAAAAAAAACTGACGAATGCCTCCAATATATACAAATCAATTACAATATATATATTTCAAACCCTGTAAATTACACAAATACAACATATTGCTATATAACAAAAGTATGATACATATATGTATGATATATGAGTTTAAACACATATAACAATATTATGCTATAAATTAACACTGTGGGCAAGTCGGCTAGCCTAGAAATATCTTTAGTCCTTATTTAAAATTATTAATAAACATATTGACAAACTTAAATGAAATTACACAAACAATACATATACCGGTATTAACATACCAATTGTGGATCAGGTCTTCTATATATTAAACACCTCTGCCACTCTTTGATTCTTACTGTGCTCTATTAACTGTAAATGGTTAAATGACAAGTGATGATATAGAATAGTAAAGGGTAATAATACTAATTACCAAATTATTAGAAATATAAGATGCTGCAAGTTTATTTACAATGTACATGTCCAATACACATGTTTACACATATACTGAATTAATACAAATAAAGCACTGCTCATTTGTTACTCAAAAAGATGAATCAGTAGTAATAAATAAGACCAACCAACCTCAACCTTTAATTTCCAAGAACAACAAAATAGTTAAAATTAATACAGTAAAGTTTAGAAAAGCTAGTACACTTTTAACTGCTCAGTAACAAGACTTGTGCAAGAGTGAGCACTATGTCACGTGACCACAATGATTGGTTACAAAAACAGCGGGAAATCAAATGCTTTACTAATCATTCAAATTAACAATCAAAGCGAGATTATAGACAACTCTGTAAAAATAAAATACTAAAGGTTTACATTAAACGAAAAGAAGGACGTCCCGTCATTGCCTTATCATAATGTTTGTCGTCAAGTACTACGACGTCACAAATGATGTCATGAAATGTCAAAGTTCATTGTCACTACAACATGTACAATGACGCTACGACATCTTATACTATCAACTTCTCTAACATTACAATACTACAACTGATAAGCATTTATACCTTTACTTTATTAATCATTTATTGTTTAATATAGTAATTGCTGGTATAATTATATCTTGTGTAAATAAATCAATCATTGCGTGATACCGCAAGCGATATTCTCTTCAAGTTTTATTTTCAAACGAGGCGATTGCAAATCACGCACGATAAACCTTTACGTTAAACTAAATGAGAAACACTTATTTGAAAATAGTACCATTTTATTATGATAAAAAGGTTACATATTAAGCATGTAACATAAAACACTCACATATGTGAATACAGACAAACCTGTCATAAAGGACATATGTTAATATAGACAAACCTGTAATAATGGACATATCTTAATACAGACAAACCTGTAAAAATACATATCTAAATACAGACACACCTGTAAAGTAAAGCACAAAATGAACATTTCTTTACTTTTCCTCCTTACTGTCAAAATGATGCGTCCTCGCTGTTGAACATAAATAGTTTAAAATGTATGGCAAAAAAATCAGCTTAAAAAAAAATAAAATACAACATAACATAAAATGATAAAATGAAGCTACTGTAACTTGGTTGAAATTGAAAGGTTGTAATAACCAAGAAATTGGGTTCTATTCTTATATCGCTGCGGCGTCTAAATATGGATCAAAGATGTTTTTCCAAACAAATAACTGTGCACAGTTCTAATGTATTTATTTATCTTCTAGTTCTGACACATACATGTATATCAATCTTACATATCCAAATATCAGTAAGCCAATCTACGATCGACAAAATCAATCGTCAATGAATCGTCAATAAACCTTCAATAAATCTAAATCAATCGACACTCTGAAAGTAAACAAATTATATCAACATAAAAATAGAGTAAAATCCAGTTCCTATATCTGAAAAGCATAATTATCAATTATAAAAACATCCTTATTTAGTTGGTAAATTACAAATAGATATTTGCAACACATTGCACATATTACTCATAGGTACATTAACATATAATATAGTTATATGCTTTCTATTGGCTGTCATTAACATAAATAGTCCATTTAATGAAATAATCATAAAATACATAACAATCATAGAGAATATCCAAACTTACCAGTTTGTGGAACTGAATGTACAATTATATCATATTACATCATCTTCTTCAAAACACACATACTTCCAAACTCTCTGTGCTGTAATTTCTGCAAATTATGCTAAACAAAATGTGCAAAGTGATGGGAATGAAATGTGATATTAAGTTTATAGAAAGATAGATTTACTGCTTTTTCTGAAACAATTCTCAAATCACGAAAACTAATGATATTTCAAATTAGACCACAATCATTAATTAAATAAAGCAAATCTATGACCTACACTCTTTAAAACACCGATAATAACTGATAATAACCAAATACAACTCAAAATCATACATACCAACTATCAATAATCCAAACACTAAGAAAATGTCTGAACTTAAATTTTACAAAGCCGCTTCAACAAAGACAAAACTAGTCACATGATCAAAATTGCGGGAAACCAAGGGCAACAACTCAAACAACCAAAAATGTATCAAGAAACTTAAATTATCCATCCTGTTACACACTTCCCCACCTTAGAAAATGACGTCCCGTCATTATCATATATACAAAAAATAATTCACATCAAACAATTCTATTTGAAGAAAACAATTCTCAAAATATAAGTCATCAGTATTCTGAATCAATCAGAAAATTTTTACAACTCCTCCAATATCAGTTAACTTCAAGTCTATAAAGTTAATCTCTACAACAGTCTATATAAATTCAATTCTTCCCTCCCCCTTCTTAAATATTGCGACCTCGCAATATATACTGAATAATTTTAATTTATATTGGCTTTTATTCAATGATTAGAATGTAAATTTATTCAATTAAGGTTAAAAAAATTACAAAAATTCAAACAATTCATTACACTTAAAACACAAAAGTATATGTCCTGAATACAATGTATCAATCAGACAATGTATTTAATAACTTCTGTGCCACATGAATATCAATCCTGTTCAAGACCCCAGAATTCATCAATATATCTAATGCCTGTAGATTGGTATCATAAGGTCTTTGTACCATTCGATTCATGTGGTAATCACTTTGCCAATTTGGTGATTTACGTTCTCCTACAGAACGTCTTGGTTTGAAATCACTTTGACAAAATTACTATAATTATTTCTTTAAATAAAGAAACAAATATATTAATTTAAAAGTTAATTTCTTACTAGTTTGTAAGAAATCACAACCCACATATGGCTAATAAATTATTGAAACTTTATACTTCAATACTTTATATATTTTTTATAGCTCAATCTTTTATTGTTTTATCATATATATGTTTTCTTTTAATTGAAGTACCTTTGATATATAATTATGCAATCAATAACACACATTTGCAATTGATAACACTTTGTTTACTCAAGTATACCAATTTAACTCTATATAGGTCAAGTCAAATTCATCAATACACATTTATCAATAGTTGTATAGTAAAATGACCATGTGACACTGACATCACTGCTGTCAAATCATGTGTAAATACATGTATCCAATGAAAATGCAGCAAAAAAAATCACATGACTTCTACATGACATCAATAAAACCAATGAAAAATGGGAATCCCTGAATACAGTCAACTAATTTCCATACAAATGAAATTCCAATCCACAACAGCTGATAAATCTGTAGCTTTGTTTACTAAACAAACCTAAGTAGAACCTTCAGGAATAGTTACACACAGGTGTATGATACCTTAAAATAATCCAAACAACAAAAATTTCCAGCAAACCTGAAATTTGATGAATCAATCAAAGGGGAGATACTTACATCTTCAAATTGAACACTAAATCAAAAGGTCAAGAAGTGTATTGATCAATGATTTGTTTACACTCTAATTTTTAATGAATTTTAAACACTAAGAAAATGTCTGAACTTAAATTTTACAAAGCCGCTTCAACAAAGACAAAACTAGTCACATGATCAAAATTGCGGGAAACCAAGGGAAACAACTCAAACAACCAAAAATGTATCAAGACACTCAAATTATCCATCCTGTTACACTGCTACTTCAAAATTACATCTATTACTTTCTTTGCAACATCCTCATCCACATTATCAAGGACATCTGAAAAGGTAATGTCACGAAGAACATGAAGTTTCTTGTCGAAAGTTCGTCTTTGAATTCCAAACATGACGTATTCATTATATTTTACCGGTGCCTTGCGGTGTCTTTCTGAGCGTCTTGTTTGCTCTGTTGGTAATGGTTTCGTCTCGTTCTTTTTGGTATGACATCTTCTAATGGGTTGTAAGTATTCTCTTAGTCTTTTGTAGTGTCTTATGTAGTTGTTACTGTGTCTTCTTGTATATCGATTTGTCTTTTTTAGAGGTTTTCACATACAAAAAATTTTGTTATAAAATCATTTTTCTTCATGATGAATTTTCATCTTTTTGGTCAACCTTTAATTTTATCTTTTTATCCAATGTTTTTTGGGTGAGCTTTTTTCTGTTTGCCATTTCCCCCCGACTCGAGTCTCTGGCGTACAGGCATCCCCGTGTAGTACTGTC